GAACATTTAACATTTTTTAAAAGATTTATGCATGCAAGAACTGGGGTACAGGCCAGAGGTGAAGGGTTGGGGATGAAAGGACTCACCAGAGACAGAGTGGGGAACAGAACAGGCAGATTGACTGAAATACACTGCTGAGGGGAGCAGGGAGTGAGACAGGAGAGGTCTGCTGCGCCATATGGGTCAGCTAGTAATCAAACTCTTGCTTCAGTGGCTGCAGACAACTTCATATTGCTGAGACTTAACCCCTTGTGCCATCTTGTTAACATATTTAAGGTCTATTTTTAAAACATTACATATTAATATTTAATAGTTATTTTATTTAAAAAATTTTATTCATGCATACAGAACTGAGGTACAGGCCAGAGGTGCAGTGGGTGAGAGGATTTACCAGAGACAGTGTGAGGAACAGAACTGGCAGACTGAAATACACTGCTGAGGGGAGCAGCATGGGAGACAGGAGAAGTCTCTGTGCCATGTGGGTAGCACTGTGGCTGGGGATGGAACTGTGCTTCAGTGGTTGAGGATAGCTTCATGGTGCTACAGCTTAATTCCTTGTACCACCAGAGTGTCACTAAATAGAAGTATTTTTAATTTAATATTTGGCAATAATATGTTTACTTGAATGAACAAATGGCTTGTGTGTGTTTCAGAGAGAGAAGGGGCGAGTAAGAATTAGACTGGGGAGACACAATTCTGTCCATATCACCATTTATACTGTCCTCTATCTCTACCCTTCTTCATCTTTAGTAAGTTCCTTATTGAAGGACATTGGTTTCTAAAATTTTGCTATTAAAAATATTGTTGTAGTGAATAACTGTGTCATCTTGCAAATATATGAATATATCTGTTGGTAAGATACCCAGGAGTAGAATTTCTCAGTTAATTTGTAGTTTTGATAGTTATTGTCAGATTTTTCTTTTTGATTTGTGCAGTACTAGTGATTGAGTGTGTGTTTCCTAATGACTTTATCAGTGTAATGTGTTTTTGGGTTGGCAGAAATCTGAGTGTTTGATAGATAGAAAATTTGGTTTTCAGTGTAGATTTTTTCATTTATTCCTGTCATTATAAGTAAGGTACAAACCAGTGTGTCTCTTCTCTAGTAAAAACCCTTGTCTTTTTCAAGGGTACTTAGTTCTCTTATATTTAGCTTATGGACTTGGGATGCAAAGTAGTTGCCTTTTTTATTTTACTACCGTTTTCAGTGGATTTTCAGAAAGCTTTGTATTTAGAAAGTTACTGAGGGGTTGAACTGAAATAAAAGGATTTGAAAATTAACAAGTAGCTTAATTTAAAAAGCATCCGCAGGGTCCTTTCTGGTGGTATGAGAGGTTAAAGCACAGCACTGTGAAGCTATTCACAGTCACTGCAGTGATGGGTTCTATCCAGGCCAGGGAAGTGACTCATATAGTGTGGCAGACCTCTTCTGACCTGCCTGCTGTTCCCCTCAGCAGTGTATTTCAGTCAGTCTGCCTGTTCTGCTCCCCACTCTGTCTTTGGTGAATCTTCTCACTACCTGCACCTCTAGCCTCTACCCCAGTTCTTGTATGCATTAAAAAAAAGAAATAAGTGTATTATAATAACATAGATTTAGGAGTTGAAACAATCATTAAGGTATGTAGGAGGAGATGAGCATCAGACTAAATATAATGTCACATGGCTCAATTAATTATTTTTGTAGACTCACCTTCTAGTGTTAACCCTAAATAAATGTTAGTAAATTTATTTTTCATTTATTAAAAGATTTATTTATTCATATAGAACTGGGGTTCAGACTAGAGGTGCAGGAGCCATTAGAAGATTCTCCAGAGACAGAGTGGGGAGCAGAAAAAGTATACTGCTGAGAAGAGCAGCGGGGGTAGGGGGTGTCAGGAGAGGTCTGCTATGCCATGTGGATTGCCTCTCAGGCTGGGGATGGAACTCGTACTGAAGCGGCTGTTGCTAGCTTGCAGTGCTGCATCCTAACCCATTGCGCAACCAGGGAGGGCCTAAATGTTAGTAAGTTTAAAAGATAAGAATATAGACAAATTATTGAGCAGTGCAGTGGTTGAAGGATTGAAGAAAAAAATGTACGTTTTAATAGCTTAAATCTTTTGGATTGTCAACTCTTCAGAACAGAAAACATGACATGATCAGTTGTGTGGTATGTTCTCCCTTAACAACTAGATTTTCCTCATATTAGTTGATATATGAAAATCTATAAGAGTTCCTACTTTTTTTTTTTTTAAAGATTTATTTACTCATGCATACAGACCTGGGGTACATGCCAGAAGTGCAGGGGCGGTGAGAAGCTTCACCAGAGACAGTGTGAGTTGCAGAACAGTCCAACTGATGAAGTGCACTGCTGAGGGGGTCAGTGGGCAGGTCAGGAGAGGTCTGCTGCGCCATGTGGGTCACCTCCTGGGCCGGATATTGAACTCATGCTGAAGTGGCTTTAGTTTCTTAGTGCTGTGCTTTAACCTGCTGCATCACCAGTGAGGGCCCCCTTTTATTTTTTTAAAGATTTATTTATGCATATAAGACCTGGGGTACAGGCCACAGGTATGGGGGTGAGAGGATACACCAGCAACACAATGGGGATCAGAACAGGCAGATAGAATGAAATATGCTGCTGAGGGGAGCAGCAGGTGAATCAGGAGAGGTCTGCCAGGCCATGTGGGTCACCACCCTGGCCAGGCATCAAGTGCTGCAATAGCTGCAATAGCTCCATAGGTCTGCTCTTTAACCTGTTGCGCCACCAAGTAGGGCCCAAAAAGTCCCCACATTTTAAATGGAGCAAGGTGTGAAAGTTAGAGGTTCAAATCCTTACATTTTAAATGGAGGGAGCAAAACCTGCGGTTTAGAAGATTCTACCTGATAACTCAAATTTTGAATGAACAAGATTTCACTCCTTAAGTTCTTTATCCTGGCCGCCAGATGGTGGAGTTCTTCTACGCAGCTGATAGTATTGCTTTCACTAGAGAAGGGATTTGGAAAGGATGAGAGAGGGACAGAGTAAATAGCTCTTCCAGAGAATAGGCTGTTCATAAGTTGGTTCTTTGTTACCTGTTTTTATAATAAAAACAGACCAGCAGTTTTTAATTGCTCCATTAAGTTGTAATGTTTTAATTGCATGCTAATAGCCACAAATGACAGTAATGAAGACTTGATGTAGGGAACCGAGATTGAGGGTAGTCCCAAAATAATGAATTCTGGAACATCTTGGCACTTTAAGAATATATTTAATTCAGGTTGTATGATATTTTAGTTTGTGGGTATGTAGGGTATAAATAAGTAAGAACATATTTAGGTTATGGATCTTCATTGTAGAAGCGCAAGGAATTAGATATACAACATATTAGTCTCTTCTGTGTGCCATTATAGTGAGGAGCCACTATTCTGTCTAGAGCTATTTTTCAGTTTGCCTAGAACCATAACATTAGATTTGATGTAGCTTTGTAGTCAGAGCTACAACATGATCAAAGTATATACATTTTAATTGATTTTTCAACTGAAGTAATGTTTAGTTTACAAACATTAGTTTCACATCTCCGAGTTTTGAGAACAAGAATAGTTGACAGAAACTAAATTATGTTAAAAATCTAAAATCTTTTGAAACCCTTTGAAAAGAAGCTTTTGAAAGTTATTTGGGATGAAGTCCAGGGGCATTGGGGTTCCTGTGGCCCTCAGAAGCTGTTTAAGCCTCATGGTTGAGAGCACAAGGGACTGTGTTGATGGTTCATGGGTGATGTGGTGGTGGGAGACTTATGGGAACCACACCTGAGGGGAGAAATCAAATATTGTACAAAAATGAACAATAGAAGAAAATAAAAAGGTTTTTAAAATAAAATAAATAAACCTCAAGCCTGCAGAAATGTAGGAGCCATATAAGAAAAGTGTGTATTTCTTTAGCTTTCCACATACCATACTAAAAAAAAAAAAAACAAAAAAACTGAAATAACTTGGTTATGGCCAGAGAGCTAGGAGTAGAGCAACTTTAGCTAAACCCAAGAGGCTGGGTTTCTAAAGAAGAATCTTTTCTTGTAGACTGTGAGCTAGAGAAATTATTGAAATGAGAATTCACCTGGCGCTGTCAGTTTTATGACAGTAGATGCATGATTATCAGAACTTTGGGTTGGTATTTTAGAAGTTGACAACTTTTGTCTTCTTGAGATTAGTGTCCTATGAAACCTGTGGGACTTGACTTAATGTTAGTGAGCAGTGTTGGGTAGCCTTGGAATGGAAGAAAAATACAGAAAAATACAGGAATTCTTCATTTTCAGATTTGATCTTTATCTTCAACCTCTGAAAGAGTGAGACTAGAAAGGACCAAACTGAGTTTGCCCTGAGGCACCCCCCTACTTGCACTCTGGTAATAGCTAGTAGAACCTTAGTCATTTTGAGAGTCTCTTTGTTTTCAGATCTTCATTTATTATAAAGCTTTATTTACAGGTTTTTTTTTTTTTTTTTCAGTTTGTCTATTGGTTATGTCAGCTCTTCCCTGCTTTTGCCTTTGATGTCCATGTTTTGAAGATAGCCTGTTAACTGACACATAATTTTCTGGATATTGGTTAGCTATAATTTTACCAAATAAGATTTGTGATTCAGGGGTAGTAAAGGAAATAAATGTTTAATTTCCTTTGCTTTTTTAGTGTAAAAATTTAAAATTTTAGAATTGAATTTTTAATGTTGATTTCTGTATATCTAAAAATATATCAATGTTGACCTAAATTTCATATCTTTTCTTAGGTATATAGAACCTTAAAATACTGAAAAGGAATTGTTATGGAGATAGTTGATTTTCTTTTAACCATTGTCACAAAGCATAGATGCAATAAATGAAAAAAGGGCGGAGTAGGAAGAAAAGAAAATCCATTTGTTAATCTATAAACTTCTACAGAATGTTTGAGACATTTGTAGATAGTATGTATCTATACCTATTTTGAACACTAAGCAGTTAACTTTCTGGGATTTCTTCTAATTGTCACTGATTTTGGCTCTTTCTGATCTTTTTGAAACAGTGATCATATGGAAAATGTGTATGGTTATTTAATGAAGTATACAAACCTTGTCACTGGGTGGCAGTACAGGTAAGTGTAATTTTTCTTTGTCCTGTTACTCCTAAGAGATCTGAAAAGTGGAACTGAAATTTTTATATTCTATTATTCAGTCCAAACATGGCTGGGAAACCATTTAAAGAATTTACCATGATCTAAAGGTCTGTTTTTGCTTCTTTTCAGTAGGTAGGAAGAGTTGATATCTGTCAAAATACCTCAGACGTTTCTGTTATATTAGAGTTAGGATCATGTTTTCAGCTACCTTGGGCACTCTAACTTTTCAGATGCCAGGTTGGTAAGGTGGTTTGGAGGTAGCAAATAGATTTTTTTGGGAGCCTGTTTTTTTTTTTTCAAGATTCTCAAGACTTCCTCTGGGACTTTTGGTGAATTTAAATAACCAGCCCAAGGTCACACAGACATTCAGTAAGTTGCAAAGCCAGTCTTCTTAATATGCTAGGGAATTGGCAGTTCTGGAGCAAGGTAGTTAAACCTTATTTTTGCAGTAAAATATACATATCAAAATTTACCACTTGAAGAATAATTTTAAAAAATTTATTTACTTATGCATATAAAACTGAGTGGGAAGCACAACAGGTAGATCTACTGAAATACACTGCTGAGAGGAGCAGGGTATGAGACAGGAGAGTTCTTCTGTGCCATGTGGATCAGCTCTCTGGCTGGATGGGGATCGAACTCATTCTCCCTTGGCTGGCAATAGCTTGGTGTAGCACTGTCTTTAACCTCTGCGCCTCCTGGGAGGCCCCACTTGAATAATTTTTAACTCTATAGTTCATTGGCATTATAGACATTTACATTGTTGTATAGCCATCACATCATACATCTCCAGAATGTTTTGCCTCTTCTCAAACTGTAATTCTTTACCTATTAAACAACCCATTTCTAAACCCATTTCTCCCTCCTCCAGTTCTTGGCAATCCCTATTCTGCTTTTATCTCTGAATTTGATTGTTCTAGTTACCTTGTATACATGGAATCATACAGTATCTATTCTTTTATGACTGTTTTGTTTCACTTAGCTTAATAGCTTCATGGTTCATTCATGTTACAGCATGTGGCAGAGTTTTTTTCCTTTTTAAGGCTTAGTGTATTATTGTATGTATCTACCACATTTTGTTTAGCCATGCACCTGTCAATGGACATTTGGATTGTTTTGACCTTTTGACTGTTGTGAATAATGCTACTATTGTGAGTTAGTATACAAATAACTGTTCAGCCCCCTGCTTTCACTTCTTTGGTGTATATATCCACAAGTGGAATTGCTGAATCATTTGGTAATGCTGTGTTCAACTTTGGGTCCATACCATTTTGCATTGCAGCTACATAACTTAACATTCCTACCTCTATACACAAAAGTTCTGAATTCTCCCATGTCCTCAGCAATACTTGTTAGTTTTCTGCTTTTTGCTTGCTTATGTTTTTGTGGTAGCCATCTTAATGGGTGTGGTTTTTGAACTTCTTAAGTGATAATACTAGAATTTGAACGTGAAGTTGGAGGTCACATAAGAGTTTAAAGCTGGCTTCTGAAAACTGAGAAGGGAAGCATTTCTATTGAAATGGAAGGAGAAATTCTCCAGGGTTCCTATCTCCTATTTTATTTTTTTCTAAATAAGTAATATAGGGCTTCCCTGGTAGTGCAAATCTCAGCACTATGAAGCTATCCATGGCTGCTGCAGCATGAGTTTGATCCCAGGCCAGGGATCTGACCCACATGGTGCAGCATGCCTCCCTCAGCAGTGTATTTCAGTAGATCTGCCTGTTCTACTCCCCACTCTTGTCTCTGATGAATCCCCTCACTACCCACTCCTTAGACACACAAACACCTCTGCCCCATACCCTTTCTCTTGTATGCATAAAAGGGGGATCAAAAAGGTCAAACCCAGATAAAGGACCCTAGGTGTAGTGGCTCAGTTAATTTGGTCTGCCTGCCAAACTTTATCTATGAGATGCCAGTGAAGTTTAAGTAGCAAAAGTATTGTGCCAGTGCTAGATGAAGACATTTTCCTATAATTGAGTTCTGTTTTAACTAAGATGAGGGGATTTACCAGAGATAAGAGTGGGTAGTGGAAGAGGCAGATCTACTTTAGAGCAGCTGGGAGAAGTCGAACATGGAATACTCCATGAATAACTGCTTGTTCTGGAGTATAGTACTCTAAGAAAGTCATAGCACCAAGACCTTCTGCTAAACATACTTCCTTCCATTTTCAGCTCTATTTTTTTTTAAGATTTATTTATTTAAAAAAGATTTATTTATGCATACAGAGCTGGAACACAGGCCAGAGATATAGGGGCAGTGAGAGGATTCCCCAGGGACAGAGCTGGGAGCAGAGCAGCAGATTGATGAAGTACACTGCAGAGGGGAGCAGTGGGCAAGACAAGGAGAGGTTTGCTGCACCATGTGGGTCACCTCCCTGGCTGGGGATCAAACTTGTGCTGCATTGCTGTGGATAGCTTCTTAGTACTATGCTTCAACAACTGTTGTGCCATCAGGGAGGGCCTTCAATTCTAATTTCTGAAAGTGAGATTGCCTTCCATGCCACTTAAGAGTTCTGTACATGCTGAGTATTGAAGTCCTGGGATGGTCAGACAAAGCAACATGGTCACCTTTCCTTCCAAAATCTTCATTAAAATTTATTTTTGTCACCATAAAATTTACTTCCAAGTCAGAATATTTTCTAGGTTGAAGTTGCACTAGATAATACTTCACTGTGAGTTTTGAGCTGTTACAAAGGTTAGTCATTTCCCCAAACTGGCAGTCGTGTTATTTTAAAATTGCAAAAAGAAAACAGTTACTCTTTTAACAACTTAGGTGAACTTCCTGCATATAGAGATTTATGCTAAATCCTGTTCCCTTGCCACACACAGCTTTGTTTCTACATGTCTTTAGTTTATTGCTTAGGCCAGCTTGTTAAAAATACCTTGAACCAGAGTCTAATACCCTTTGGGCAACAGCTTTCTTCACTATATGGATTGTCTCTCTATCCTTAATCTACATGTCTTGTAAAATTATCATTTCCTGACTAATTTATATCATTTTAGTAGACTTTTGTCAGCTTTATTTTATGTATATGTGAATGATTTGTGGTAATGCTTTTGGGATAATGTACTTATTCATAGCTAACATGAGATTTCAAACGTTAAATTTTCTTTGACTACTTCATTTTCCTTTTCCCATACAAGGTGAATTGTACTTATTATAGAACTATGGGAAAAGATTTCATTGTCTTCTTCCTTTTTGTGTGTGTTCATTCATCCTTCAGTTTATTTTTTTGTTCACAGCTTCATTGTAATAGAATGCACATACCATACACTTTGCCCATTTGAAGTGTACAACTCAGTGTTATTTTGGTATACTCAAGAGTTTGCTCTCTTGCTAACAGACTGTTTACTTGATGAATGTTTTTTATAACTAGGTTCATGTCTTAGTCTGTTTGGGCTTCTCTAACAAAATACCATATTATATAGCTTATCCACAACAGAAAATTATTTCGCACAGTTCTGGAGTTTGGAAGTCTATGATGAGATTGCCATCATAGGATGGTCTTTTTGACTGCAGATTTCTCATAGTACTCTTCATAGCATAAAAAGGGGAAAGGGAAGTTTTGGATCTCATTTATAAGGGTTTGGGTCATGACCCAAACATTTTCCATCTCTCTCTTTTTTTCCAGCAACTTTGGTGTACAACATTATATATATGATTGAGAGATACAGGTTCACGTTTCTTCACATGTATGTTATCACACTGTACTCACCACAGAGACACTCACAGTCCTCTGCCATAGGCCCCCTCTACACTCCTACTTCCTATCTCAATACCTTAGGAGTTAGAATTCTACCCCTTCCCCCCCCTTTTTTTTTTGAGGAAGAGGAAAGTGAAACTTTCCACTATCATGGCTGTGGCAGACTGCCCAACTCACAGAAACATTCCAGGGATACCTGAGAGTACCCAAGTCTGACCCCTTCAGATGCCATCTGTGAACCAAACAGCTTACTGGGGGTTTTCAAAGAAGACATGGCAGTTTCCCACCAACTTGGGCCATGGCAGTCTTTGAGAACACCTGTAACTTTTTTAGTATGGTTGGGGTGTACCCCAATTAGATACCTTCAGTTTTTCAAAGGTTCCTCACAGTCCACCAGACAACAAAAGAAAAGAGAATAAGGAGTCTTCATACCCAATTATCCATTTCCTATCCCTGTACATACCACTAAATGTTATGGGGGATATAAGCCAGAGGTGCAGAGGTTAAAAGAATTCACCAGAGACAGCATGGAAAACAGAAAAGTTGTATTTATTGAAATATACTGCTAAATGCAGCAGCAGGTGGCCTCCCTGGTGGCCCAAAGGGTTAAGCACATCCAAGGGGATGAAGTTATCCATAGCAACTATAGCACAAGTTTGGTTCCTGGCCAGGGTGCTGACCCACAAGATGAAGCAGATCTCCCCTGTCTCACCTGCTGCTCCCTTCAGGAATGTATTTCAGTACTTTTTCCTGTTCTGCTCCGCACTGTCCAGTGAATTTTCTCACCCCCCTGCACCTCTTCCCAGTACCCCAGTTCTTGTATCATAAATAAATAAATCTTAAAAAACAAAGAAGTAGCAGCTGAGACATGAGAAGTCTGCTGTGCCAGGAGTTAGGGTTTCAGCATAAGAATTTTGTGGGGTCACGTTCAAATCATAGTAAGTCATATGTGCATTTTACTAAGGATAAGTCATATGTTTTAGAAGTTTAAGATGATGCCAGAGACTGTCTTGTGTTTATTCAAATAATCCCTTTAAATCTTGAGAAAGTAAACCTGATGTGATGGGAAATTCACTAAGGTAGAACGGCATTATCAATAAACATGAGAAATGTATTTAACTCTTCTAATAACAGTGAAATGAAAGTTATAAACCTTGGGCTATTAAAAATTACTGTGTATTTTTTAATCAACATATGAACATAATTTTAGAAGTCAGACCAGTCACAAACAGACCAGTCACAAAAACAATAGACTCTTGCTTTTCCATCTCTTTTCTCAGATAATTACTTTCAATTTCTTTGGCTTCCTTCTCATTAGTTCTTTTTGTATACCAATTTCATTCCATTCCCGATTCCACTCTCTCCCAGTTTGATGTGGCTGATATGCTTGCCATGTTGCTTAAGACAGTATCTTCTAGAAACTTGAACTAGATCAAATTATCGCATTGATTCTATTACATAACACTAACTTATAGAATTCTAAACAATTTCAAACCCTTACAGTGGCCTACTTTTTATATGGAAACTTTAAAGACTTTTTTAAAGAATTCTTGCCTTACTTAAATTGGAATCTAAATTAATTTATTTCCTCAAGTAGCTAATCTAGAACCAAATCAGAACATCAAATTCTTTTCCATTGTGTATCAGTATTTCATCATTTAGTTTCAAGTTCCTTATGCTTCCGCATCTCCAGTTGCAGCCTTTTCATTTTTAAACAGGATAAGTAATCTTTCGTTGTGACCTATTTAATGGTATGGTCACAAAAATCTTTCTACTCTGACATTATTCTCATTGCATATTTCAATGATTAAATCTTAAAAGAAGATCCTCATTACCTAGCAATTAGTTAGCATCATAATTCATATCTTGATTTGTTGCCAGTGAATGTTAAGTAAAAATTCTCACTACTGTTTTTCGTTGGACAATTTACCTTGTCTGAGTGTGTTCTGAAGAAAAATAATTTTGAATGGATATTATGTCTCCTTTTGACATTATCCAGCCAGCATGCTTCTTTCCTATGAGATGCCTCTTCCTTAGCTGAAGATTTTAGAAGTATTAATGAATCCTATTCAGTTTACAGTTACCTTTACTAAGAAAGTACTTCTTGAAATGTTTCAAATCTAACTTTTTAATAACAAAAATTCCAGATAGTAACAAAATTTAGTTGACATGAGGAAATTTTTAAATATTATTTTTTTTTAAATCACCACAGGTTTTTTGTTTTAAACAATGAAGCTGGGCTATTGGAATACTTTGTGAATGAACAGTCTAGAAATCAGAAACCCAGAGGTACTTTGCAGCTTGCAGGAGCTGTAATATCACCCAGTGATGAGGACTCTCATACCTTCACTGTAAATGCTGCCAGTGGGGAACAGTATAAACTCAGAGGTATGATTGAGATATGAGAATTGTGTGATTTTCTTGAGAAGTTGGTGTACTTTTCTACTTTTATTTGGGTTTAGGAAATAGATGTTGCAGTACATTTTGGTTTTGTTTTAAACATTCATGAAATTTATTTTAAAAAACAACGTTTTTTTGGTTTTGTGTCCATTGTCTCTCTTTTATATATGTATATATGTATATAAAAAACAACTTCTTTTAAGTGGTACAGTGAACAAGTCTGTGTGATTGGTCCCTTTGGTCTGTTTGATTTGTGTACATGAAACCATGACTACTGAGAAATTTAAAAACAGACTTCTTTTAAATGATATTGTTGATGTCTGACATGGGTTTCTATATTGCTACTTTGCCTAATTTGGTCTCCATACCTTTTTTTGTGTATTTCAGTGGCTAATTTAAATAATTGGGGTTAATTAAAATGTTCATATTCATTGAAATTAAAGTCTGATTTTTATTTAGGTCAGTTTAATTTGTGAAGAAATTTGGGGTTTTTAATGTAATTCATGACAAAGTACATGGTAATACTAAGTATGCTACTAGAGATGTTAAAGTATTATATATATATCACATGCTTAATACATGTTATTTCTTTAAATAAGAGTATACGTTCATGAGGAATTTAAGACATGTCAAGAATCATATCCTTACCTAGCTGGATGTAACTTATCCTTCTTATGAAATATCTATAGCCAGCTACTGTATTACCTAATAAGGTTATTGCTTTGGCCTCTTTCCTACCTCCCTCCAGCCAGGGACATTTGCTCTATGAAGAGTGAAAGTAACCCCTGTTTATCAGTTTTGTGTTCTCATGCTATAGACAGTTGTATTCAAAAATACATATAAAAATTGAATAACTTTGAGATTCTTTTTATCAGCCACAGATGCTAAAGAGCGACAACATTGGGTTAGTAGACTTCAGATCTGTACGCAACATCACACTGAAGCTATTGGAAAGGTATGTGGATTCATAGATGATATTAATGCACAAAAGTGAGGAAAGAATTTTCACATTCTTAATTCCATGCCATAAAAGTTAAACTGTACAGTCCTGTGGCTTTTAGTATATTCATAACATTGCACAGCCATTGTACTATGTAATTGCCCAACATTTTCACCATAACTCCCAAAACCCACCTCCATTAGCAGTCATTCCTATTCTATCTTTCCCAAGTCTCTAGCAAATACTAATCAATTTTCTATTTCTAGAGATTTATCTATTCTGGACATGTCATATAAATGGGGTCAGTTAATGTGATTTTAATGTCTGACTTCTTAGAATAATTTTCAGAGTTCAACCAGGATGTTGAATGTTTTCAAGTGTATGTTGGTCAGTTGTATGTCTTCTTTGGATAGTTTTGGAGTACTTTATTATTTTGGGTAAAATGGAAAGTTTCCATAATTGAAATCTAAAAGACATCTCAAAATTAACACATGGGAACACAATTAAAGGATTCCATACCTAGGTGATGGCCTTACCTTATTTTTTTTTATAAATTATTTCTAGATTTATTCCCAGAGTAAATTTTGAAAAGTTGTGACTTAACCACCTACAACCTAGTCTTCACAAAATTGACAAAAGCTTTACTCATTTTGCAAGATGCTAGTCACTGGCAGTGATCAGAAACTAATAATTTATTCTTTGATACTTGCATGTTACATTAGAGCATGTGTTATGTGCAATATTGCTGAGTAGAGTTTTTTGTTTAAATCATGGTGTTTTGAATTCTGAAATTACAAAGACTAACTGTGAGACTGACCCTTAAAAGCAGACTGTAGTAGATCTGAGATACTCAGGATGGGAGGGAGAAAAGGGGAGCTATGAGCAGAGTAGAGAACTATGGGGAGGAGAGTGTGGTGGATTGTGTTGGAGGACTGGGCACTGTGGTGTGGAAGCTATGGTGATCGCACCTGAGGGGGAATATCCTGTACTGTGGAAACATAATGAAGGATGTTAACAGAAAGAAATTTCTATTTTTTTATTTGTAAAATATGAAAATACTCTTGACAGCATAAGACTATTGCACATAAGCCTAGAATTAATTTCTAAATAAACTGTCTTTTACTATGGAATGTATGAGTTACTTCAGTTATGAATATCTTAAATTTTGTCAACTTCAGAATCAGTCTTACAGTCAACTCTGAGGTTAATTTAATTTTTTTTTTGAAAGATTTATTTATTTATTTATTCATACAGAACTGGGGTACAGGCCAGAGATGTGGAGGGTGAGAGGATTCACCAGGGACAGAGTGGGGAGCAGAACAGGCAGATCAACGAAGTACACTGCTGAGCGGAGCAGTGAGCAGTGGGCGGGTCAGGAGAAGTCTGCCACGCCATGTGGATCTCCTCCGGGGCAGGCAGGGATCGATCGAACTCATGAGGAAGTGGCTTAAGCTTCTTAGTGCTGTGCTTTAACCCGCTGCGCCACCAGGGAGGGCCAACTCTGAGGTTAATTTAATTTTTAAAGCTTAATGTATAAACTTCAATTGTATGATAAATTGAGGACTAGAAAACCTAAATTTTAAAGAAAGGAATCATTTTCTTTGTCTAATAGAATAATCCTCCACTGAAGTCACGGAGTTTCTCACTTGCATCTAGTGGTAATTCTCCTATATCCCAGAGGAGACCGAGTCAAAATGCCATTTCTTTTTTTAATGTTGGACATTCCAAACTACAGTCAGTGAACAAGAGAGCTCACTTGCCTCCAGACCACCTGGTGGAAGTCAGAGAAGTAAGTATACATTAAAGTCAAGTTAAAATGCATAAAATGATGTTACTGGCTTAGTTTGTCACCAAAAATGGTTAGGTCCTATTTGTGCCTTGTGGTATCCTCACTGCTTCCCATTTAGTGTGCTGAGATAATTTTTAAATTATAAAGATTCCCTGACTGTATATTTTGTCCTAAATTTCTTCAGATCTGTCAGCAATGTACTTGGTACATTATCATTTTTCAAAAGCTTTATCTTTTACTTCTCAAGTAAAAATAGATTCCTTTGATACTATGCCTGATCTTAGCCAAAAGACCAAGAAGCGATAAAATAGATTCCTTTGATGTAAAATTACAATTCTCAGGTTTTTAAGCCTAGTGGATTATATGGCCAAACAAATGCCTCTTTAAAAAAAAAAGTGTGTGCATGCATAGGTGCATATATAAATTTCATATGTACACATAATTACTTAAATCCTTGATAATTTCTTTTCTCACCATTTCTTTATTATTTTTTAAAGATTTGCTTATTTATGCATATAAGAATTGAGGTACAGGCCGGGGGTGGGGTGCGGGTGGCGTGAGAGGATTCACCAGAGACAGAGTGGGGAGCAGAAAGGCAGATTGACTGAAATACACACTGCTGAGGGGAGCAGTGGGTGGGTCAGGAGAGATCTGCCTCACCATATGGGTCAGCTTCTATGTTGGGGATCGAACTCATTCTGTAGTGACTGTGGACAGGTTCACAGTGCTGTGCTTTAACCCATTATGTCATCAGGGAGGGCTTCTCTCTTTCTTTTTAAAATTGAATACTAAGTAATTCTAATTAACAAAGGATGCTTTTGTTAGGATATACATGTTCCAGGTGTCATTTGTTATGCTAAACTTGCTAGGTCTTACAGATATCTTTATAGTGGATTGTAAAAATGCATATTGATCACATCCAAATAGTTCAAGGGAGGAGATTGGGGAAAATGTCACCTCTATCAAGATATTTTGGGTTATGTTTATAAATAAAGAAATTGAGATTTAGAGGGGTGATGTAACATGCTTAAAATAAACAGATTAGCTTTTGGTTCACTTTCTAGTCAACGAAATGGAATACCAAATTCAGGAAAACAATTTTCTTATTGTATATATTACCAGATTTTATTAAAGAACATAATTCAGGAACAACCAGATGGAAGACATGTAAGTGGCAAGATATGGAGGAACCTCAGCTCCCTTGCCTAACTCTTTGGTTGATCCCTCTTTGCCACCTCCCATTACTTCCACTCTAAGTTCTCTAAATACCTTCTTGTTTTTGTCTTACTTATTTTGGTGGAATATGGATATGAAGACTTCATCACACAGCCATGGTTAACTAAACTGTTGCCCATTGGCTTAACACAGCAACCCCTCTTCTTTCTAAAGTGATTGTAAGAGGAGGGTAAGTATTCTAGCCCTAGAACCACTTAGTTGGTTTCCTTGGCACCTGGCTCCTACACAGACACTTCCCAAAAATCAGTGCATTAACATAAATTTTAGAGTTGTTGAAAGGAGTTTGTTAGGAATAGCAAACACACACAGTTCACCTTTATGCTTTGAAGCTATTTCAGGAACAAAACCAAATATAATAAAAGATGGCCCTATTCTTATCAGTTAGGGAATTAGAAAGTTGAAGGAGCTGTGTGCCAGAAAGGGGTGGTGGGAGGCAGGGACCAAAAATATATTTTTTATTATGTCATACATTCTTTCATGCCAAAATGGTGATCTATGGATCTATGGAAAGAGCAGGTAGTTCATTGTGCACTTCAGTTGCATAAGTACTTTTTTAAAAAAATTTATTTATTTATGCATACAGAACTGTGGTACTGGCTAGAGGTGAAGGGGCAATGAGAGGATTCACTAGAGACAGACAGAATGAGGAGCAGAGCAGGCAGATCAACAAAGAACACTGCTGAAGGGAGCAGCAGGCAGGTCAGGAGAGGTCTGCCATGCCTGGAAGGGGATTGAATTTGGCTAACTTGGCAGTGCTATGCTTTAATCTGTTGCACCACCAACGAGGGCTCTCAAAGACGTGATTAAGTACACTTTTCCCCCTAAAAGTGAATGCTGGTGAAGAATACAGAAACTACTGGTGTAGTTGGTGCCACAATCTTGATTTTTCACTAAAATGCCAGCAGTGTTATCTACCAGTATTTTACACTATTAGTGCAAATGCTACCACCATGGAAACTTACAAGGAAAATTGGTTGGAAAAGAGTCTGTTAAAAAACAAAATTCAGTGTAGAGACTGACTTTATTTAATGATTCATGAATCTGTAGATTCAGTCTAGATATTGCCAGAAGTTAAACTAGCAAAAGAAAAGATTATTTCAAGTGAAGCCACCTTATTGCAGGGAAAGTGATATCACTTGACTGATGCTGACTAGGACACTTCAGATAGACTGGTTTAGGACAAGAGTTTTGGGAGAGGTTGAAACTACATTAGGTATTAATGGAAGACTCAGCATAAAAGTCTCCATTTTGTTTCTTTTTTTTTCTTTCTATCTTTTAACAGCTCCTACAATGATCTGCAAAACGTAGGTTGAAAATTGTTGTCCTAGAGTGATTCTGCTCCAGGAGGTTGTAATGCAAAGATACAATCCAGAGTGAGGTTTTTTTTTTAATTGATTTATTTATGCATGCAAGAACTGGAGTGTAGACCCTAGGTGGGGGTGGGAGGGCACTGAGAAAATTCACTAAAGAGAGACTAGGGAGCAGCAGAACAGAGAGTTACTGAAATACACTGCTGAAGGGCAAGATAGGAGAGGTGTGCTGTGGGCCACCTCCCTGGCTGGGGATCAAACTCATGCTGGTGATTGCTTGATAATGCAGTCTTTGACTTCTGCATCACTAGGAAGGCTCCCAAAGTGAGTTTTAAAGGACATTTTGAACAACAGTGAATAAAATAGCAATAGAAAATTCAGTGTAATAATTCAGAATTCAGTATAATGTGCTTGAATATAAATTTACAATGAAAGCTTTACCTGACTAAAATGATTTTAATATGCTAAAACCAAAATTAATTTCATCAGGGGAAATTTGAAAATTGACATTAGCTTTTTTAAACATTAGGTAGTATCCTGTCTAGCAAAGAGAAAGAAGCTCCAATTGTCTTGGAACACTTGTAAACAGGAGGGGGCAAAACAAAATAAGGAAGAGCATGGATTGTTTCATTAAAGGTCACTTGAGGAATTGGAGAGGTCTCTTACCAGATTATCTTGCTAATGTTGACCTGAGAAAGTCAGACTGACTTTCTAAGATTACATTCTGGGAGGGGTTCCATTTGCAGATAGGTATTAAGTCTTGATTTGATGATGTGACTTGTAGCACAATTTGAGGCCACTTTTGCCTGTTTTCCCTTTTTAAACAAGTATTTACTATTTGTTATTAATTCTGTCAAAGTACTACATTATTCAGTGCATGTTTCATTCTGGTATTGTACAGTAACCCTCCCGCCCCCCACCTTTGTCTTCAGAGGGATTCATTCCAAGGCTCCACTGTTTGAGAGGATGCTTCAAACAGTGGATAGTACCAAACCCAACATGTAATGTTTTTTCCTATACATACATATCTATCACAAAGTTTAATTTTTTTTAAAAGGATTTTTGTATTTATGCATACAGAACTGGGGTATAAACCAAAGGTGCGAGGAGTGAGAGGAATCACCAGAGAGAGTGGGGAGCAAAAGAGTCAGGTGCAGTTCCTCTGTAATGGTTCCTTGGCTTCATTTCAAAAATGGTTTCACAAATGTCAACTTTTCTCTCTCTCTGGCCAGCTTCATAGTGCCATTGTGCCACCAGGGAGGGCCCAAAACCCACAATTTTTATTTACAGCTTTTTTTCTGGTAAGGCTGAATATTTGTGGCTTTTCTGCCATTTGTTTTCAAGAGAGAATTTATATACCACATAACTTGATTTGCTTTGTAGAGTAATTTTTAAACAGATTTATTTTGCTTATGTATTTAGGAAATAGGGTGTAGACCAGAGGTGTGGGTTGGGGTGAGAGGATTCACCAGAGACAGTAGAGGGAGCACAACAGGTAAATCTACTGAAATAGACTACTGAGGGGAACAACCAATAAGACAGGACAAATTTGTTGCACCATGTGGGTCAGCTCCCTGGCCAGGGATTAAACTCATGCTGCCATGACTGCCAATAGCTTCATAGTGCTGAGACTTAACCCCTTGTGCCAATAAGGAGGCCCTGGTAGAATTACTTTGCTTGTTCTTTCATAAGCTTCTGGTGAACTGTATTTGAAGTCAACTGGAACAGCTTCTAAAAGCCGAGTCTCTCTGTTGCCACAGGAACTTTGTTGCCACAGGAACTTTGTTACCACTTTTGTAGAGATGAGGGGCACAACAGTTGTAGAGAATATTTGCTACTTGAGCAGTTCTTGTGCTATGTATTGAAAGCATACAGGCTAGTGAAAGCTGATCATATGGTAATGGTGTGAGGAATAAGGTCCAGGAGGCAAGTGGGCTGAAGTTTTATGAGGAATAGAGAAGGGGACATTGTGACTGGAGATCAAGCAACATTTGTGGTGCAAAGAGTTAAGTCTCAGCACTGTGATGCTATCTGCAGCCACTGCAGCTTGAGTTCCATCCATGGCCAGGGAGCTGACCCACATGGCACAGCAGACCTCCTTTGTCTCTCCCACTGCTCCTTTCAGGAGTGTATTTCAGAACAGTCTGCCTGTTCTGTTCTCCACTGTCTCTCACCCCCCACACCTCTGGCCTGTACCCCAGTTCTTGTATGCATAAATTAATCTTAAAAACTTTAACATTTGCATCAGCAAAGTATATGTACTGATGTTATCACAGGTAGAGTTACCCTATGATCACCATGAGACAGTCCAGTAATCAGGTCAGCAGCTGCTTAGGTGCCCCTGGGCCTAACTCATGATATGGGCTATTCTCTGTAGGTAGTCAAGGCATACTCTGCTGTGATTTACAGATAGTAAATAGTCAAAGTTGCCCCTAAGTAGCCAGCTTGTAGCCAGCTCATAGGAACCCACATCTGGTCTATGAAATTTCTATGTGAGTGAATATAGTATTCAAGGATGGGCAGTTTGAGACTCTATTATCACAGTTCAAAGTAACTAAGCATAAAATAAATTATGTTTTAATTTTTAAAAATTGAGTTGCCAGGGCCTCCCTGGTGGGGCATGGGTTAAAGTTTCAGAGCTATCAAGCTGTTGCTAGCCACTGTGGCATGAGTTCGATCCCAGGCCAGGGAGTAACCCACATGGTGCAGCAGACCTCACTTGTCTCACTTGCTGCTCCCCTTAGCAGTGTATTTCAGTAGGTATATGCCTGTTCTGCTCTCAACTGTGTCTCTGGTGAATCCTCTCATCCCCCGCACTGCTGGCCTATACCCAGTTCTTGAATGAATAAATAAATATATATCTTTTAAAAAGTTGGGTTGCACTATGGAAAACTGTTTGGAGGTTCCTCAAACTGCTAAACATGGAGCTTCCCTATGACCCAGCAGTCCCACTCCTAGGTATCTACCCAAAAGACACAAAAACACTGATTGAAAAAGATACCTGTACCCCCATGTTTATTGCTGCTTTATTTATAATTGGAAAAACATGGAAGCAGCCCAAATGCCCAAAAGTAGACGATTGGATTAAAAGATGTGGTACATATATACAATGGAATATTACTCAGCAACCAAAAAAGAGAAACACATGTCTTTTGCAGCAACTTGGATGGAGCTGGAAAAGATCATACTTAGTGAGATAAGCCAGAAAGAGAAAGAAAAATACCGGATGGTTTCACTCATAGCAGGAGTATAATGGACCAGGCGAGAAAATAATAAAAATAATGAACAACCATAGACCAGAGACATTTTGCAGAGGTGGAGTGGGGAATGGGATTAAAAACGGGGGGTGGGGGTGGGGAGGGAAGTGCACGGGATTATGGTGATGGCACATGGGTGACTTGGTGATGGAAAACCCGTGGGGATTACAATTGAGATGGGGAAAAAAATGTACAAAATGATGTAAAAATAAACTGTTGTAAAAAAAAAAAAAGTTGGGTTGCTCATCCTTTGTTACTGCATTTACTATTAGGAAAAGTGGATCGGAGTTATAATCCTATATGTATTAAATTCTTTTATCTTGGAAGGCTTATATCCAACACTTGCTGTGAAATCAGCCAAATGGGACTAGAAAAAGACTAGGAGAAAAGGAGGAGGTAGACCATCATGTTCTCATTACAAGTTCAAATTGAACCTAACCACAGGTTCTGAGGAAAAAGTGATTGAGATCCTAAACAGGGAATTAATATGACTTTGGAATAAAAATTTAATGCTGCTGTTGTTGATGATCTGGAATGTTTTTTCTAATGACTATTAATAAAGACGGTGAGCCTCATGAGCTTTGTTGCTTTCAAATTAAAAAGTGCCGAAAGTCACCAGCCTTTGCTTCAGTTGCTAAGCACTATTTAAATAGTTGTTTATTGAGAGTAACAAACTAGCTTTAAAATAGATTTCTAAATCCAAAGTATCCTAAAAATGGCTCAGAAATTGAATATGGTAATTAAAATGACTACTGCATGTGTATACATGTTATACAGAAATCATGTGGAACATAATGGAACTGTTGTTTTTTCTTAGATGATGTCTCATGCTGAAGGACAACAGAGAGACTTAATTAAACGAATTGAATGCCTTCCTGCTTCTGGTCACCTTAGTTCTTTGGACCAGGATCTCTTAATGCTCAAAGCTACTTCCATGGCGACTATGAACTGCTTAAATGACTGTTTTCATATCCTCCAGTTGCAGCATGCATCACATCAGAAGGGCTCATTACCTTCAGGTAAGAGAGAGATTAACGTAGGACTTAACATTAAGGTGTCAAAATATGGGAAGAACTGTATTCAGTGTAATTCTAACTTCAGAAAATCCAGAAAATCTTTTTTTTATTTGTGCACACAAGAATTGTACAGGCCAGAGGCACAGGGGAGGTGAAAGCATTTACCAGAAACAGAGTAGGGAGCAGAATAGGCAGATGGACTAAAATACACTGCTGAGGGGAACAGCAGGCAGGTCAGGAGAGGTCTGCCACGCCATGGGTCACCTCCCTGGCTAGGCATCAAACTCATGCTTCAGTGGCTGCAGATAACTTTATAGTGCTGAGCTTTAACCCGTTGTGCCACCAGAGAGGGCCCTCCAGAAAATCCTAATTAAAAATAAAAAAATAACAAAATCTATGAGTCTCTTGGTTTTTACTATCACACTTGTGACGTATATAACATTTGATGTAACACATTTACATATTATAATGTAGTAACCTCCAAAGTTTTAGCTTACACCTCAATCATGTCACATGATTGTCATTTCTTTTTTGTGGTGAAAGCATGTAGGATCTAGCCCCTTAGCAACTTTGAATTATATAACCAGTGTTGTTGACTTCATTTACCAGTATTAGACCTGTAGAACTATTCATGTCTTAATAAGTTTGTAGCTTTTAATATTTTCTCCCTAATTTTCCCTATCCCCATCACAATGTATTAATAATAGTAACTTAATATTTCACAAAAGCTCATTGTTTTATCTAGCTCACTCTCCTTGCTTGTGAAAAAAGGTTAATTTGGAAAGCTTTTGAGTCTCTGCTCAGGAAAAAGTTTGGCATGATCAGATCTTGAGAAGGATATAGTATGAATCCTATCTTTTTGTGTGAATTCAGTATTTCATCCTAACATACTTTTTAAAATACCTTGAGGTGACATTGGTTTACAGAACTATATATAATTTTAGGGTACATGTTTATACCTCCTCAGAGGTATAAGGTCATACAGCCAAGCCACTCATAGTTCTTTTTACCATAGACCATGGGGCCCTCTCCCCTCTTGGCCCTCACCCATCATTCTCCTTTTGCCTCTAGTAGTCATATTTCTGTAGTCCTATTTCTAGGATTTATTTCATTTAGTTATCTCAATTCTTTTATTTTTATTTCATTTAGTTATCTCAATTCTTTTATTTTTCTATATTCCACATATGAGTTAAATTACCCATTATCTTTCATTTTCTGACTTGTTTGACTTAGCATAAGATTATTCCATTCATGTTGTTGCAGTTGCCAAGAGTTCATCTATTGTGTATATATTCCACATTTCCCTAATAGCATCCTATGGTTCGACATTTAGGTTGTGTTTATAACCTGGCTGTTATAAATAGTATTACAATGAACAAAGGAGTGTGAATATAACTTTCAATTAGTATTTTTACGTTGTTCAGGCCAGTAACTAGGAGTGGAATCTCTGGATCATGTGGCATATCTATTTTTAATATTTTGAGGAGCCTCTATACTGTTTTCCATAGAGGTTGGACCAGTTTGCATTCCTACCAACAGAGGGTTGCTTTTTCTCCATATCCTCACAAGCTTTTGTTTTTGGTTTGTGGGGGAGATTTTTTTCTTTTTAAATATGGATTGAGGTATCTTATTGTGGCCTTTTATTTGCATTTTGTGATGATATGCGATGCTAGACATTTTTTTCATGTACCTAGTAACCATCTGCATATCTTTTTTTGAGACATGTCTCATTCTTCTGCCCAATTTTTTTTTTTAAGATTTATTTATTCATACAGAACTGGGGTACAGGCCAGAGATGCGGAGGGTGAGAGGATTCACCAGAGACAGAGTGGGGAGCAG